AGTAATATGTCTTTTAAGCTTCTTCCATGTCTTTCATGGCTTGATAGGTCATTTTTTTTACTACACATATATTTTTTAATTTACATATATGTACTGTTCCTTGTTTCTAAGAACGTTTAGATCTTTAGCTTTTTAAACTTACATAGTTATCAAAGGAATAAAGACAAGCAGAAAATAAGAATTAACTCAAAAAGATACATACACCCTGCTGTTAACAGCAACATCATTTGTAATTGCCAAGATACTGAAGCATCCTAAGTGCACATCAATAGGTGAATAGATAATGAAGAGGCAGCATATATATACATACACATACACACACACATATATACATACACATATACATAATGGAATACAAGTCACCCATTAAAAAAGGAGGACATTTTGCCATTTGCAGCCCTTCATTCACTTTTTTTTTTTCACTTCAAAAACCAGAATTTTATAACTGGCAGAGACATTTTCCGTTACACCAAAAACAACAAAATACCTGGAAATAAACTTAACCAAGGAGGTTACCTATACTCTGAAAACCAAAATGACACAAAGAAATGGAAAGATTTCTTGTGCTCCTGGATTGGAAGAATCAATAGTGGCAAAATGGCCACACTACCCAAAGCAATCCACAGATCCAACGCAACCCCTATCAAAAAATACTCACAACACTCCTCACAGAACTAGAACAAACAATTCCAAAATGTATAAAGAATCACAAAAGACCCCTAACAGCCAAAGCAATCTTGTAGGTCTCTCTTTTTTCTTTTTCTTCTTCTCTTTTCGTATGGTTTGATGGCTAGAGAAGGTCATTTAACATTTGTTGTAAAGCTGGTTTGGTGGTGCTGAAATCTTTTAGTGTTTGTTTATCTGTGAAGGTTTTGATTTCTCCATCGAGTCTGAACGAGAGCCTTGCTGGATAGAGTATTCTTGGTTGTAAGTTTCCCCTTTGCATCACTTTGAATATATCCATGCCACTCCCTTCTGGCCTGTAGAGTTTCTGCTTGAAAATCTGCTGATTCTTATGGGAGTTCCCTTGTATGTTATTTGTTGCTTTTCTCTTGCTAATTTTAATATTGTCTCCTTATCCTTAATTGTTGTCAATTAATGAACCTCTTTGCGTTCATTCTGTGTGGTACTTTGTGTTTCCAGGACTTGGGTGACTGTTTCCTTTCCCAAGTTGGGGACATTTTTGATTATTATCTCCCGCAAAATTTTCTCAGGTCCTTTCTCTCTTCTCGTTCTGAGACCCCTGTAATGCGAGTATTAGAGCGCTTCAGGTTGTCCCAGAGTTCTCTTAAACTATCCTCATTCCTTTTTCTTTTTTCTTTTTTCTGTTCTGCAGTAGTGATTTCCACTGATCTGTCTTCTAGCTCACTGATCGTTCTTCTGCCTCATGTAGTCTATTCTAGGTTCCTTCTAGTGTATTGTTCATTTCAGTGATTTTATTCTTCAACTCTGGGTATTTATCTTTTCCAACTCTGTGGTAAAGACTTTGCTCTGTGCATCTATACTCCTCTTGAGTTCTCTGACCATCTTGGCCATCTTTACTTTAAACTCTTCCTCAGATAATTTACCTATCTCCTCATCACTTATTTGTTCTTCTGGGATTTTATCATGGGCCTTGGCCTGGGAGATGTTTGTGGACTCCTTCCACAGGCTTTGGGATTATTGTGTTCTTATTTCTGGTATCTGCCCCTTCTGGATGAAGCTGGACTAGAGGCTTATGCAGGTTTCCTGGCAGGAGGAGCAGTGCCTGCCCACTGCTAGGTAAAGTTTGGTCCTGGACCTCTGGTGGGTGGGTCTGTGTCTGGAGGCCTTTGTGGTTCAGGAGGTCTGCTGCTGGGTGGGGTTGTGTTCCCACCTTGGAGGTTGGCCTGAGGCTTCCCTACAGGCTGTTGGGTGCTAATGATGCAATCAAAATGTCAGCCTCTAGGAAAGCTCATGTAGATTAATACTGCCAGAATATCCACCACCAGCTTTTATGTCCCCTGGGTGAGCCACAGCCGTCCTCCATGTCCCCAGGAGATCCTCCAAATCTAGCAGGCAGGCCTGGCCCAGGTTCGTATGAAATCACTGCCTCTGCCCTTGGACCTGGTGCACGTGAGTTTCCGTGTACGCTTCTCAAGCGAATGGGACTCTCCGTTTCCCCCCGTCCCGTCAGGCTCCCAGAGCCAAGTCCCCCAGTCCTTCAAAACCAGATGTCCTGGGGTCTCCTTCTCTTCCCAATGCCAGGACCCGAGCTGGGGAGCCTGACGTGGGGCTTAGAGCTCTCACTCCTGTGGGAGGGCCTCTGCAACTTAACTAATCTTCAGGTGGTGGGTCACCCACCTTTGGGGGTATGTGGCCCAATTATGTCACCAGAGCACTCCTCCTACCGTCCTGCTGTGGTTCCCTCTTTATGTTTCCAGTTGCAGAAGATCTTTGCTAGGTTCCAGTCTTTTTTCCGATGGTTGTTTAGCAGTCAGTTGTGGTTTCGTTGTAGCCACGAGGAGAGGCGAGCTCATGGTCCTACCACTCTGCCATCTTGCCCGGAACTCCCTTAATTACTATAGATTTTGTAGTATCATTTTAAATCAGGACATATGATACCTCCAGCTTTGTTCTTATTTCTCAGGACTATGGCCATTCAGGGTCTTTTGTGGTTCCATATGAAATTTAGGACTTTTTTTCCTCTTTCTGTACAGTATGCCACTGGAATTTTGATAGGGATTGCATTAAGATGGCTTTGGGTAGTGTGGAAATTTTAACAATATTTTCTGATCTGTGAACACAGGATATCTTTCCACCTCTTTGTGCATTTTTCAGTTTCTTTATCAGTGTTTTACAGTTGTCAGTGGACAGATATTTCACCTCCATGGTTAAATTTATTCCCAAGTATTTTGTTGTTTTTCATGCTATTAGTCTTTTTCACGGTGATGCTCTCCTTTGAAGCAGAAAAGCTTCTAATTTTAATGAAGTCTAATTCGTCTGTTTTTCCTTTGTTCCTTGGGTTTTGGTGTCATATCTAAGAAATGGATACCTAATCCAAGGTTACAAGATTACTGTCTTCTAGGATTTTTGTAGTTTCAGCCCTTACATTTAAATCTTTGATCCATTTGAGTTAATTTTTATATGTGATGTGAAGTAGGGATCCAAGTTCATTCTTCTGCCTGTGGATATTCAGTTATTTCATATTGACTACAGTTTCTAAATGAAAAGACCATTCTTTCCCCCCATTGAATGTCTTGGTGCCCTTGTCAAAACTCACTTGTCCATAGATGTCTGAGTTTATTTCTGGGTTTCACTGATCTCTATCTATCCTTATGCCAGAACTACATACTGTCTTTATTATAGGTTTGTACTAACAGTGTAATTGGGAATTCTGAATGAGTCCATCAGCATTGTTCTTTCAAGATTGTTTTTAGCTCACCTCAGTCTGTAACATTTCCTTAAGAATTTCAGGATCAGTGTATCAGTGTCTGCAAAAAAAAAAAAATGGCAGTTAAGAGTTTTGATAGGTACTGAATCTGTAGGTCAATTTGGGGAGTACTGCCATCTGAACAATATTAAGGCTTCCATTCCATAAAATTAATAAAGCTTTTTTAAGCCATCAGTTTAAGGGCTGCTGCTGAACTGTTTTTTTAGGCCTCCAGAATCTTGATGAGAATCACAAGTTGGGGTCTTTTTTTTCCATAGCTACCTCTGGATCCTGTCTGTCACTGTGAATGTAGGATTTTATAATGGAATGGCTTCTTCATCAATGGAGTAACAGAAATTCTGATATATTGGTAGTCAGAATGCAAAACAGAATCATCACTACGAAGGGTATTTTGGCAGTACCTATGAAATTTGCAGGATACCATGGGAGAGTTCCTCCCATGAATCCAGGCCAGCAAGCTTGTTTTCTGTCTCCCTCTTCCTGTTCCTTTAACTGAGGAAGTAGTCTTTTGCGAGACCAACATTATGTATGTATGTTTCATTTCCAGCCGCCATGCTATCCAAGCCTACAGCCTTGTCGCCTGTCCCCAAGGTGGTGCTAAACACCAGCTTGCTAAGTTACTAAGACCAGCATTCATCCTGTCTTCATCTAGGGTACTCAGCCTCAGTTCAGGTACTTAGATCCTGGTTTTCAGTTTTCTTTTGGATTTTTTCCCCTTGAGAATTTCCCTAATTTCATAAAAGCTCAACTATCCACTTAAAAGGCTATCGCGGTCCCCTTTTGCAACATTTCTAAGTACTTTTTAACAGGATGATTTTTCTAGTTAACTAGTACAAGAAAATGCCTGAAGTATTTGTAAATGTAAACATATAGTAGATCAATAGACATAATTACAATACATAAATCTGATTGACAGACTTTATTTTCCCTATGTTATTTTTTAGTTGCTGTTTTTTTCCACCCCCAGTAAATTCTAATGAAGGCCTGTTGCCTGCCTAATAAGGAGGTCACTGAATTGACCATATATAATTTTTTCCTTGGGAGTAACTCTTGATAGGTATGTGCTTACTGCCACTTAAGAAATTGTTTTCCTCGCTGTTTTGTAGTTTATCTGTGCTTTTCTTCTCTTGCTCTCTCCCTTGGTGATTTGAAGGTTGTCTGTAGTGTTATGGTTAGATTTATTTCTCTTTTGTGTATGTATATTTACTATAGGCTTTTGCTATGTGGTTACTGTGAGGCTTAGATAAAGTATATTTATAGCAGCCTATTTTTAAGTTGGTAAGTTGGAACACATTTTTACTCTCCCCGTTTTGTGATGTCACAGTTTACATCTTTTTATCTTGCATATCCGTGAAGACATTACTTTGGTTATTGTTATTTTTTCTACTTTTGTTTTTTATCCTTCATACTAGATTTATAAGCTATTATTAGCCCATCACTGTTAAAACAGTGGAATATTCTGAATGTAAGTATATAATCCCTTTAATGGTGAAACTTTACTGTTACTAGTTAACACCCTTTTGTTACAGTTTAAAGAAGTTCATTTCCTATAATAAAGCTGGTCTACGAGTGCTACATTTCTTCAGCTTTGTTTGTCTGGAAACCTCTTTATCTTTCAATTCTGAGGGACAACTTTGCTGGATAGAGTATTTTGGTTGGTAATTTTTTTTTTTCTGTTCCTACTTTGTAGGTTTGTAGGCCAGAAGGGAGTTTTGTGATAGCTTCAAAGTTTCTGGTAAAAAAAATCTGCTGATGCACCTAGGGGGTTCCTTTGGATGTAACAAGGTTTTCTCGTGATGTATGTTTGTTTTAAGATTAACTCTTGACAGTTTAATTAGACATAAACTTGGTTTCTTCGTGCGGTTCTCTTTTGATTACCGGCACGGGGGGCAGGAAAGATAAAGGTGCGTTTGGGGAAAGTAAGGTAGGTATAGAGAGGCTGTAGGTCAGGGTCAGAGTGTAGGCCTAGCATGCAGGAGGTCCTGGGTTTAATTCAGGAAGGGAGAGACGGGATTCAATACATCGTTCCCAGTATGGGAGAGAGGCTTACCCGTGCCCAAACCGGAGATCTCGTTTTCAACGTCTGTTGATTATCGTGATGTTGTGTGATGTCTTTCTCCCCTCCCCCACTCCCTAATTTATTTAAAGTACACCTCTTATAAACAGTACAGGGTTAGATCTGGCTTTTTTATACATTCTGATGTTCTCTGACTTATATTGGAGTGTACAGTCTATTGTAGGTCTGCTACTTTATTATGTATTGTCTATTTAGTACCTCTGGCTTGCTTTATTTTGTTCCCTGCTCTTGCTTTCTTTGGATTATTCCAGTATTTTTTAGAATTCCATTTCAGTGTATCTACTGGCATTTGTTGTGTCTTCCTCTAAGTATTACAATATACATCATTAAGGGGTCACAGTCCACTTAGAGGTGATACTGTACTACTTCATGTAAAATGTAGAAGTCTTACAATGATAAGGTCCATTTACCCCTCCCCGGGCTATTATACTTATCATATGGATCTATATACCTTATTTGTCTTCTTCCAGAAGACATTCGGGAGAGAGTTCTGGGCTGGCAATCTTGAGGACGGCCTGAACGTGATGGACACAACATCACCATCATCGCCATGGGGTAAGTAATGTGGCATAAAATACTTAGCCTGAATCTGATCATGCCTAGACAAGCAGGCAAATCCAAACTGAGAAACATTCTACAGAGCAACTGGCCTGACCTCTCCTAAAATGTCAGCGTCATGACAAATCGGAGCAGGCTATATGAAACTTAATCATTACTGAGATAAAATACACATAAAAAAATATATATATTCATTTATAAAGATGTTAACACATAGATAAACATGTTACTGAAAATAAAGCAAATGTGGCAAAATGTTACATTAATTGCAGTTCTGCCCTAAGTCTGAAATTATTCTACAATAAGAAGCCAAGGACCCTTTTAACATTGGGTAAGTTAAATAAGTACAATATAAAATATTCTTTACAGAGTGATTGGGTAGAAGTGAAGGAGTCAGAGATTAACTGTTAGGAAGTGTGTGCAACTCAGTGAGCTAAAAGATTAGACTGCTCATTTCTTTGTCTTTTTAAACAAAACTTAGGACACTGTCCCCTTTTAAAAATGTATACAAGACATGGGACAGAGAGACTTTACCAGTGATGAGTATTTCATGGTTACACAGATCACCCAATATGACTTCACTCATACTTCTCTTTAAAAAGTTATTGGGTGACAATGAATGTATGTATGTTCATGTATAACTGAAAAATTTTGCTCTACACTGGAATTTGATACAACATTGTAAAATGACTATACTAACTCAAAAAAAAAGTTTAAAAAGATATTGGGGTTACAAAAAGAATGCAACTCTACCGGAAAATGGTTCAGCAACCCCCAGCCTTATCACATGAGGATGCACACTGCATTTTTTACACACCTGTGTGCATCCTTCAAGAAGATGGTGGGTTCTTTTCCCTTCTTAAGTGCAGCTGGCTTGTACAGTTAGAAAAAACTCACCTTTGAATTCAGTCTTCTCAGAGAACAAACTTACTGACAACAGAGCCTATCCATTTTACTTTGGCAAGTTATCTCTTAGCCCAACTCAGACACTGGTAAAAGCACTTCTGTCCTTCTGCCATGATCCTCTGAGCTCCACAAATCATCCAGCCCACGGCCTGACGGGTACTTTAATTTGGGTGCTTTCATGGGCATGCCACCTTTTCGCCAGTCTTGACAGGCCTAAAGAATTAATGCTTCAAGGAATTCACCCGAAACTGGGATGGTGGATCCTTGGTTTAGCTTCGGTGCAGCCTATATGATCAATCACTATTCTTGCTATACTTACGTAAATAATAAGGCCAAGTTTATTGAAATGGGGCATATTCTGTAAACCAATTAGTGTTAACTTGAATTATCTCTGATAGAAGGAGGGGTGATGGTGGGATCCAATATCTAACTGAATGTGAACTTGATGTAAAGTTCAGAGAAATCACTGTAATAGCTTTTAGATAATCTCTGTGCCTTTTGCTGTGTGGGCCACTCAGAAAACTTACCTGAACACCTGATGACCCAAACTGCAAAGAATGCTTAACCCCCACATCTAGGTATCTTCTCTTCCCTGCTAGCTGCCCTCGGGACTCAGACTGGGTTTTCAGTGTGCACCAACCTTTCTTTTCCTTTTGTTTCCGTAGAAATGCCTTATTAAATACCTGATTGCTCATACCATATAGGCCTAACTTTGGGAGCCCACCTCCTGAAATGAGACATACTGTTTGTTTTAATCTTGACAATAGGTCAGTTCAGTCAGAGACTGGTCAGTGACATATGGAGCAATCTGTAAACTTAGCTTCTGGACTGTGAAACTGCCTGGGGAAATTTCAAAGGCAGAGCTGAAGGGGAGTAGAACCGGTCACCCTAAACTATGCCTCTTTGGCATAAGGACTATTTTAGGCCAACTGTGTTTTAGAAACAGCAGTCATAGGAAAAACTCTGAAAACCAAGCAGAAGTTACCTCTTTGTGAAAGAGAGAAACACATTTACAAGGGGAATCTTGTAACTGTCTCCTTCTCTGTACCAGGAAGAGGACGATGACTAAATCTCTCCTCAGTGGAGGCTGGCAGCAACTTGTATTTGCATAACAACTGGAACAAATGAAGATAACAAAATTAGACCTATGGGACAATTTCAAATAGGTAAGAATATGCTTAGAAAATAGTGTGACTAGACATATAACAAAATGTTAACAACATTTGCCTTTGGGTGGTATAGGATTATAGACATTTGTCCTTCTTGTACTCATTTTTAAAGTTACTGTATATAAATTTATTATTTTGTGATCAGGCAATATCTAGTAAATAATCTATACTCTCCCCTCTCTTATATACTGTAGGAATATGAAATATTTCTTTTTGATCTGACCCTTCTGCAATATGCAGAATTATGACATGAGAATAGTTCAACAAAGTCTGTCATATTTAGACTGCCCCACTGGTGAGCAGCGCCTCAGGACTACTTCAGTCTTCTGGCAGATCTCACCCCTGGACAGCACAGTGCTCTTCACTGAGCATTCCCTAGTGTCACTATCATTTCTAGAGGAACTTTGGTTCCAAACAAGAGCCCTCTTAACCCAGAGCTGGAATACCTTCTTTGAAGAAGTCTTGTACCTCACATTACCAGGTGTATACAGAAGAGGTATGTTTAATGCTCTCTAATGCCATGAGCCCCTTATTGGAAATCTGGGATCATATAGCCCATTGATAATTCTGTTACCACAAGTTCTGAAAAACAAAAAAAAATGCTTTTCAAAATCTTTCAAGCCATAGTCTTTCTAGTGGAAAACCAAGTGAAAGTTGATTTTTTTCTAAGACATCTTCATCATTTTCTTTCTTTGCTGCTTTCAAAACAGCATTTCTCTAGCACCCTTACATTTTCTAAAGGTTTCAAATGTCAAGCTGTTTTAAATCTTACAAAAGCGTTTCAGGGCTCTCCTGGGCTGATATGCAAATTACAGTTTCACTTTAGATATTCCGACTCTACAGTGGGCATCAGTATGCTACTTATGTGTGGAAAATGCATTTGTATTTTGTTCTACTTTTGGCCCAGGCGGGTATGAATGGGGGAGTCAGGTGGCATGGCCATGAATAGGACAGTTTCATTATGTTTTGAGATTCTTAAATAAATCTATTTGGAACATAAGCTAGAACCAGCCAAGTCTCTAGGGAAGTCCTGCAAAAAATGAAACCATTTTGCATCCAAACCTCAAAGACATAAATTCATGAAATTGAAAACTGAGTATCACTTTTAGCCCCTTAGGAAGCCGCAGTAAGAGATTAAAAAGGGAAATTATGGCCCTTCTCTATCACTGAGCAGTCAGAGATTACCTTTGCTCTTTGGATGATTTGAAGTGGGGGAGTGGCACACTGCAGATGATTGGATCACTTTTTGTAATCTCAAAATGTGGTTTCCTGTTGAGTTTACATAAATTGAATACACTCAGGGAAAAATGGTCTCTAACTGCACTATGTTTGTGTTACAATGTCTTGCTTACCACTGTATCACCTGTGACTAGCACAGGCCCTGGCATAAAGAAGGCCTTCAATAACTACTTGTGAAATAAATAAACTCTAGTTACTCTAGATTAAAAAAGAAGTTATCCTGAAGACACCAAAATGGAGATAATCAGAACTGCACTGGCACAAAACATGACAAGAGAATCACAAAGGAAACCAAGTCTAATATTCTATATAGAAAAGTCCTCACCTGGAATTGGAAAAGCTCCATGAATGGCACCAGCTGCTGGTAAACCATTTGACTCTTCTTAGTTCCCTCATTTAGAAAGTGAGAGTGTTCTGGGTGTAAAATGTTCTAATTCTTTCTGAGGTTCTTCCTCTAAACCTCTCAGCCTTCCCCTCTGGACCAATAGATAAGTGAAGTGGTTCTTTTGCCAGTTTCCTTGCCTAGGATCAAGCTACTCTGTGGGCCTTTCTAAAGATCACTTCTGTGTTCTATTTTAAGTGTCCTTCACATACAAGACTCTTGACCCATCTGAACTAGGTTATAATGCAAACCTCAAGTTCGCTGCACACTTTTCTGTCCTTATCTTAGCCTCTCTTCCATAGCAAGGAAACATCCTTGCAAGGCTGCTGCCCAAGGTGGAGCTCAAAGTCCACAGTGATACTTGGAATAAAGCCTTAGAGAATTTTAATTCATATCATTGGCCTTCCCGACCTG